GAAGAGTGAAGAAGTCTAAAGAGAGTCTATGGGCTTTTTTAATTTTGGGGGAATGGTTTTGGGAGCAACGAAGCTCCCTAGACTGCCACGTCAGATTTATGTTTCTGTGTATTATATGGGCTAATCCTGCTAATTTTTTTTTATATATATATAATCCAACTACTGTTTTTTTTTTCTTTCATCTACTATGGTTTTACATATAAATCATTTTGGTGTATAACTAAAAAAGTTAAAAATTAATAAAAGTGGGATATATGACAAAATCTAAACTATTGATTTTGGGGTTTTTAGTTAGTTTTTAAATTATAATTTTTTTGTTATATTTTGAGCAAATTATCTCTTTGCTAATTCAGTTGTGCAAAAAAACAATGAAATAAAATAAAGGTAATAATTTATGTTTAATTTAAAATTGAGAAATGATACTGTATTGTCACTATCAAAGAGTCAACCAAATAATGGGGAATTAATGGTAAGAGAGTTTAGGGAAATAAATAAACATTTTTACTCAGTTTAATCCTCTTTAAAAAGGTTATTAATGAAAAAAAAATTTTAACTATCGTCGGATCTTAAAAAATCTCTTTAACTATTTTTTTAATTAAAAAAACTCATCAACTATAATTCGTTAGTGAAATCAATCATCTGCCTACAATAACGTTTAATCCCAATAAAAATTAATCATCAGCTAATTTCTAAACTCACAGAATTTTGATTAATATTTCAGACGTTTTGTCGTTTTTGTAACAAAATACAAGAATTTTTATTAAGATTAAACGTTATTGTAGACGGAGGGTCGACTTCATTAACGAAATATAGTTGAGGGTTTTTTTTTCCTAAAAAATAGTTAAAAGGATTTTTCATGATCCGAAAATAGTTAGAAAATTTTTTTATTAAAAATCTTTTTTAAACGTTTTTACATCTATTTGGTCCATCAAAATAATATTATATTTTAAACTAATTAAAAAAATCGATAAATGAACTAGCGACGCCTATATTTCTCTTAAACAAAATCTTCTAGTTATAGAAGAAGACGACAATCAATTGGTCATTGATCATAAGTCAAATGGCCACATAATCCACATGGTCAAAAAAAGAAAATATCACTCAATTACGCATCACTTCTCTTATTTTTCTCATTTTATAACATCTTTGCAACATGACTTTTTTTTTTACTTTTTTTTTTTAGTGTTTTTGTATCTTCTTTTGTGCCGCCTGAAAAATGTTTTTTAGTCTCTTTTTATTTTTTACAAATAGCCTAAAAAGACGAAAAACATATTTATCGAAGAAGATAAAATGCAATATATAGGGTTTAAACTTTTCTTTTGATAAAATTTTAGGGTTTAAACACAGTTTTTTTAGAAACATTAATGTTTTTTTTTTTGTCAAACAAACATTAGTGTTTAAACTTCTTTTTTTTGCTATTTTTTTATAAACTGTGAGAATTCCGAATATTTGGCTCATAGTCTCCTCGATACCCGGAATCAGTCTTTAAATATTTCGATTTAAAGAATAACCTTCTCTACTAAATAGAGTTTAAACTTGCCACCATAAAACAATTATATCGAGCTAGGTCACTGCACTAATACGTCTTTTCTAAAACTGATGTTTTTAAAATATTCAACTTAAAAAAGTACTGTACTCTATATGTTTTTTTAATGGTTTTGACATTTTTCGTGGTACAAATTAAAAAAAAAAAACATATTAAATTTTTTATCATAACTTTAAAAACAGCTTAACTCTTAGTACTAGAATATGCTTAATAGATTTTTTTTTTTAATCAGATTTGATAGATTTTTATTTTATTAATTTAGTAACTTAGTATTTATGTATGATAAAACAACCAATATTTATAGATACAAAATAATATTTGTTTTAAATTAAAATATATTAATTTCTAATTTAGTATTAATACTGCTTGAAAACATGAAGTAATTATCAATTATTTCGATATCAATAGTTACCATTTAAAATATATTTGTTTAAAACTTTGTTACGCACATATATATGACAATTAGATAAATCATATTATTTAGATAACCAATTACGATTTTGAAGATAAAATTTATCAATCATTTTCTAATAAATCTTTGTTGTATGATTACTTATCATTTTTTGTCATTTATCTTCGTCTTATGAGTTATATATATTTTGATTTTTGTTCACCATAGAAAACTATTTGAGAGTTTTTTATACTATTTTTAAACGTTATTCTTTCATAATAGATTGACAAATAAAAGAGTTAAGATAGTTAAATGTGTGG